GAGGATCTTTGTGCAGAGCTTGAACCGGTATCAGGATTTTCATTCCGGGTTGCACGCGACAATTAATTCCATCGGATCCTTTCAGTTCGATCTCTTCCGTGCATCGTTTCTTCATGACTACTTGTGCGGGTATCAATCTCATTGTCTCATTGAATACCTGGTCCATAAACGTCATTTCTCTCAAATTTTCGTAAGTCAGTTCACCGTCATATTTGTTGAGTACGGATATCACCTCCTCGCGCAATTTCTCCTGTATTTCTGGATTTTTGGCCAAATAGAATCCGGCGTAGCTCATAATACTGCTGGAGGTCTCATAGCCGTCCAGAACGAACGACATCGCCTGCCCCGTGAGATATTCGGTGTCGAATTTAGTGCCCTCCGCTCGCTCCAGTTCAGTCATAAAATAGAGAAAATCATTCGTAGGTATTCCGTCCTTCCTCCTTTGCTCCATGAGATCCGCAACTAGGTTCCTGAAGAAATGGTCGACATGCTTCGGGATGAAGCTTACTTTGAAAATTTTGTTTAGCGACGGAATGAAAAACGTTAAAGCCATCACAATTTTATGTCGTTTCGTCGGTTCGAAAACGGCTTTTCCGAGTCTTCGAAAAGATATATCCTTTTTATCGTCATCAAAGCAATATCCATCCACGCCGAAACCAGCAGCGGCAACTACCTGCGCGGCGTACCTGGCGAACAAGGTCTTCAGCTCAAACTCCGTTTGTTTGTTCTTCAGCTTTTCGTTTATGTAATTCTCGTACGACGCACACACCTTTTTAACATTTTTGAGCAGGAGCTTCAAACGCATGCTAGAAAACGCGTAAGTCAAGCGCTTTCTGTTGGCTAACCATTTCTCACCGGCAAGGAAGAAAGGATTATGTGACACGAGCGGGTCCACTTTGGGATCGATTTCGAAGGTGTTCTCGGAGAAATTCGAATAATTAGTTTGCAGCACCGTTTTCACCAGCTCCGGCTCGAGGATCATCAACGACGGCGACGTGAAGTCGTAGATGCCGACCATGCTACGACCCTTGTGATCATTATAGATCTTGGAACAGAAATCGGAGAAATACGTCTTCATGGAGATCACCGACAACATGTGACCGAATCCCGGTAGGGCCCCATCCAGGCACGGCACTCCACGTTTTTGCCAGAACTTGTAATTTCGCATCAGATAAA